GAGCAGCCCCGCGCCCCGTCGGACGGCTCCGGTGGCCCCCGTCGGCCCGGCAGAGCCTTGAAGAAAATGGGTGAGTCCCGGGGGGAGCCGGCGGGGCGGGCAGGGGGGCACCGGGCGGAATCTGCCGGGGGGGCAGCTGTGCTAGTGGGGTCCCGTGAGGGATCTCCGTGGCTCGGGGCGTCCCTGAAGTGGATGGGGACCCCCATGGCAGGGATGGGTCCCCGTGGCTGGGAGGGGTCCCCAACATAGACACAGTCCCCGTGCAGAAAATGTCCCCATGGCTGGGTGAGGTCCCCATGGCCGGGAGGGTCCCCAAGGCGGATGGAGTCCCCCATGGCAGGGGGGAGGCCCCATGGCAGGGAGGGGTCCCCAAGATAGCCAGGGCCCCCATGCAGGAAGCTGTCCCCATGGTTGGGTGAGTGCCTCACCATGGGGAGGGGTCACCATGGCCAGGAGGGTCCCCACGGCAGGGGTGTCCCCGAGGTGGATGGGGCCCCTCACAGCAGGGACGAGTCCCCAAGGCAGCCCCAGAGTAGCTGTGCTGTCCCAGGTGTTGGGGGACCGCAGGGTCGGGGTTCAGCCACATCATGGGTGGCAGGAGCCCTCCTGCTCGGGGTACTTATTGTCCCCAAGGCTTAGCTCCAGCTCCCTGGGCCCCTCACCAAACACCCTGCCTCAGTTTCCCCACAGAGCACTGCTGGCTGGGGCCCCGCTGACCCCGGCACAGCCCGGGGCAGAGCTGCCCGTGAGGCGCAGGCAGGAGGGGCGGGTGCCCGGGAAGGTCAGGGTGTGCCCGCCGGGGCGGCCGGGCCCGATCCTGCGTGGGAGCAGTGGGCAGGGCAGGGGCTGGCCCCCTGCCATGGAGGGAGCGCTTTGCTCCCACTGCTGCGCTGGCCCGCGGGCGGCTTTGGGCATGCGGCTGTGTGCCCGGAGCTGCACAGCTCTTGTGTCCCTCTGTCCGTGCACCCATATGCTTGTCTGTGTGTCCTTGCATCAGTGTGTCTGTGCATCCATGGATCCATATATCCCTGCATTATATCCACGTGTCCACGTGCCTGTGGGTCAGTGTGTCCCTACGTCCAGCTGTTCGTACACTCATGCACCCACGACCCCACGTGCTCATGTGTCCGAGAGTCTGTATGTCTGTCCATGCATCTGTGCATCCATAAACTTGTGCATCCATGTGTCTGTGTGTCCTTGCATCAGAGCATCCATGTATCCATACATCCCTGCACCTCTATAGCCATGTGTCCACACATCCCGGCAGCTCTTTATCTGTGCATCCATACACTCATGTGTCCGTGTGTCTGTGCATCCGTGTGTCCATGCATCCATACACTTGTGCACCTGTGACCCCATGTGTCCGTGTGTCTGACAACCCCTGTGTCCATCCATCCGTGTACCACGAGGCTGTATCCATGCGTCCATACATCCGTGTGTCCGTGTGTCCATACCTGCCCTCCGAAGGTGCCCTCAGTCTTGCTCCGTGGGCAGGATGTGACCTTGCAGGAGGTGGTGGCAGCTGGGGACCACATTCCCAAGGCCGTGGCCAGCTCAGGATGTCCCCGCTCAGCACCAAACCTGCTGTTTCCCAGCCCAGGAGCAGCGACCAGAGTGGGGACACGGGCACCAGGGCTGTCCTTAAAAAGTGGTTGCCAAAACAAAAAAAAAGTGAGGAAACAACTGCTCTTTGGAGAATAGACGGAAAAATCCCAGCCCTGCTGTGAGCCCGGGCGTGGGCCCGCAGGTCTCCAGAGGCCACTGCGTCATCGTTCCTGGCCTGACCTCCGCTGCCAGCACTGTCCTGGCGCTCCCCACGCGGGATTTGGGCGGCTTTGCTGGGATTTAACGTCTGGGCTCTGCCGTGTGAGCAGGGCTCTGCCACCACACTGCCATGCCCTGACCCCATTGGCCGGTCACACAGTGTCCCAAAGGGGCCTGGTGGCAGAGGCTTGTCCCTTGTTCTGCCTGTCCTGTCCTGTCCGTCCTGTCCTGTCCTGTCCTGTCCTGTCCTGTCCTGTCCTCTCCTCTCCTCTCCTCTCCTCTCCTCTCCTCTGTCCCGTCCCATCCCATCCCATCCCATCCCATCCCATCCCATCCCATCCCATCCCATTCCATCTCTCCTGTCCCATCCCATCTGTCCTATCCTGTCCTGTCTGCCATGTCCTGTCCCGTCCTGTCCCATCCTGCCATGTCTGTCCCACCCACTCTGTCCTACCCTGTCCTGTCTGTCCCTCCCATCCTACCTGTCCCATCTTGTCCCATCGTGTCCTGTCTGTTCTGTCACATTGTATCATATATGTCTCATCTCATCCCATTGCCCTCTGCCATTCATCCCACCCTGTCCTGTCCCCATCCCTCCATCCTGTCCCATGCCGTGCTGTGCCATTCTGCCCCATCCCATCCCATCCCATCCCATCCCATCCCATCCCATCCCATCCCATGGGACACAGAGGTATGCATACAGATGTGCACCGAGCCCCACCCACATCCAGTACCCCCAGTACACCCTCAGAGCCTCCAGTACCTCCCAGCGCCCCCCAGCATCCCCCAGTATCTGCACGGGGTGCCCACGGGCTGGTCCCCCGCAGGCCTGACGGAGGACGAGGACATCCAGCGGATGCTGCGGGGCTCCCTGCTGAGGAAGATCAAGTCCCGGGGGGTGCCCAGGGAGCGGCTCTTCCGCCTGCAGGAGGACGGGGCGACCGTCTGCTTCGAGGGGCGATTCGGGCGCGCTCGCTCCCAGCAGAGCTGTGAGTGCCGGCGCTGGGGACCGTCCCCCGGGGCTCGGGGACCCTGGGCCACGTCCTGCACAGCCTCGAGCTGCAGGGAGGGGTTGGGACCTGGGCAGTGCCCCAGACCTGCCCGTGGGGACCTGGGCATGAGCCGGGACCCAGACCCCACCCGGGGACTAGACCCGCACCCAGCCCCTCACCCGGGACCCAGACCCCACCCCAGGACCCAGATCCCAACCCAGGCCCTATCCCAGAACCTGGGACCTAGACCCCACCCAGCACCCAGACCCCAACCCAGGATGTGCACCCCCAGCCTGGGACACAAACCCTGACATAAGATGTGGACCCCAGTCCAGAACACGGACCCCCACCCAGGACCTGGACCCAAACCCGCTGCACCCAGTGCTTCCCTGTGCACCCAGTGCATCTCACTGCATTCCAGTGCATCCAGTGCCTCCCAGAGCACCTCAGGCTGGGCCCCAAAGCCCACACCCTTCCCCGTCCCCCTTGGGACCAGCATGAGGTCCCCTCTCCACCCCAGCCAGACTCTGTCCCCCACTCCCCAGCATCAGCCATCTCTTTCCACCCTCTCATCTGGGATGGGTGCCCAGAGCTGGCACCGCTGCAAGACAGCTCCATCCCCCACCGGCGTCCCTGTCCCCATCCCCGCAGGGGACGGCAGCTCCTGTCTCGCCTGGGATTAGTGGGTTAAGCCCCGATGCAGCATCAACAGCAGCTGAGCACCAGTCCCCTGGGGTGCCCCTGGGGACATGTAGTGTGTCCATCAGCAGCCAGGATATCTTGCAGGATGCTCATGGGTGGGGAAAATGCCGAGGGACCCCCTCCATCGCCAGGGTGACCCCATCCCCACGTGTGTCCCTGCAGTCTCGGTGATGCATGTGGAGGGGGTACGTGAGGGACACCAGTCGGAGGGTCTGCGCAAGTACGGTGGCGCCTTCCCCGAGCGCCACTGCTTCACCCTCGTCTTCAAGGGCAAGCGCAAGAACCTCGACCTGGCTGCCCGGGGAGAGGAGGACGCCCGCCACTGGGTGCAAGGGCTCACCAAGCTGATGGGGCGGCTGCAAGCCATGAGTCAACCAGAGAAGCTTGACCAATATCCTTTGTTGGAGCTATGTGGGCTTGGGGACAGGTTGGGGACAGCCATGGGGGTGACGCCGGGTGGTTTCCTTACCCTGGCATAGCTGGATCCATGGGGTCCTGCAGCGAGCAGACAGGAACAAGGACAACAAGATGTCCTTCCGGGAGGTGAAGAGCATGCTGAGGATGATCAACATCGACATGGATGATGTCTATGCCTACAAGCTCTTCAAGGTAACTGTCCTGGGATCCATCACCCGCTGTCCCCCACTGTTGTCACCAGGAGGGAATGTTGGCTACTTCTCTGCCTTCCCAAGCACGGAGAACTGTCAAACTCATCACACACAAAGCCACCCACCGTCATCAATGGTTGGGTCCCATCATGATGGGGTTGGGTGAGCTGTCTCCCCCACTGCTCTGCAGGTCCCCAAGGTCTGCTATTTTCCCCCCACGGGGTGCTGTCCCCAGGGGTATCTCCCAAGTCTCCTTCCACCTGGGGATCCTGAGGCACAACGCTCTGCTCTGCTCCATCCCGGAGTGGAGGGTCAGAGGACTGTGGGTGGGGGGACAGAGGCCACATGCCCACACAGCCCATCCCTGAGCCCTCATGCCCATAGCTGAGCCTCCCCAGTCTCATCACACATGCTGCCAACCCCAAGGGGCAGGCAGGACGAGGCAGGGGGTGGCCGTACCCCCTTCCCCACAGGCAGGGGACGGTCCCCGAGGTTGGGCTTTGGTCCCATCAGGAGTGCGACCGCTCGGGTGATGAGCGGCTGGAGGGCCGGGAGCTGGAGGAGTTTTGCCGACGGCTGCTGCGGCGGCCGGAGCTGGAGGAGCTTTTTGGGCGTTACTCTGGCGAGGACCGTGTTCTTTCGGCCGAGGAGCTGCGGGATTTTCTACAGGACCAGGGTGAGGATGCCAGCCTGCGCCAGGCCCGTGCCATCATCCGCACCTACGAGCTCAACGAGAAGGGTGGGTCTGGGGACAGCCAGCTCGGGGGGTGGTGGGATGGGCGCTGCTGGAGCCAAGGGCGGTGGTGGATGACATGGGGATGGGGGTCTGCTTGGTGGTGTCACCCCCTGAGCTGGTGTGCAGTTCTCCAAGGCTTGGGTGAATGTTCCTGTGTCCCTTCCCCAGGGTGGCACTAACACGTGGCTTTGCTGGTCCCTGGTGGTTGTGGCACTGTGGGGACAGGGGACGTGAAGGTGGGGATGGAAGGTGGGGGTGGACAGCAGTGGACCCCCATGTCTCCTGGGTGATGCAGTGCCAGCCCTAGCACGTATGTGACACTTCCAGGGGACCTCCATGTCCCTTGGCTCCCACCATGGCAGGTCCAGGGTCAACATGGCACTAGGACAGGGGACATCATGGTGGGAGTGAAGGGCGTCCATGTCTCTTGGGTATCACAGTACCCTAAGGTAGGTGTGGCACTATCAGGACAGGGGACATCAGGGTGGAGGTGGGACACTAACGGCAACTCCACATCCCCTGAGTGCCACAGTGCCAGGTCTGGGGTGAACATGGCACTGCTGGGAGAGAGGGGACATCCAGGTGGGGATTGTCCCAGGGGTGCCACCCTGCCAGCGGTGTGCCAGCCCTCTGTGACACCTCACCGCTGTGTCCTGCAGCCAGGCAGCAGGACCTGATGATGCTGGATGGCTTCATGATGTACCTCCTCTCTGCCGCCGGTGACATCCTCAACCAGGAGCACACCAAGGTGCACCAGGACATGAGCCAGCCCCTGTGCCACTACTTCATCTCCTCCTCCCACAACACCTACCTGACCCGCAACCAGATCGGCGGCACCAGCAGCACTGAAGCCTATGTCAGGTGGGTGCCCCTGGTCGGATGCTCCATAGCCAGTTGGTCCGAGGGTGCTGGGGTGGTGCAGGGACTCATCCAGTGATGGTGCGGTGGCAGGGTGCTGATGGCAGGATGCCGTTGTGTGGAGCTGGATTGCTGGGAGGGCTCCGACGGGGAACCCGTTGTCTACCACGGCCACACACTCACCTCCAAAATCCTCTTCCGTGATGTCATTGAGAGCATCCGCGACTACGCTTTCAAGGTGAGCAGGGTGCCAGCAGCCCTGGGATGGGAGCTGGGTGCTGGGTGCTGAGTGCTGCCCATCCCCATCCCCAGCAATCGCCCTACCCCGTCATCCTGTCCCTGGAGAACCACTGTGGGCTGGAGCAGCAGGCCACCATGGCCCGGCACATGAAGGCCATCCTGGGGGACATGCTGCTGACACAGCCACTGGAGGGGCAGGACCCCCATGACCTCCCGTCCCCAGAGGTAAGGACACCCACCCACCCACCATCGTGTCCCCATGTCCCCTCCAAGCCCTGAACTCGGCCTTTCCTCCCACAGCAGCTGAAGGGGAAGGTCTTGGTAAAAGGAAAGAAGCTTCCAGAGCCATGGCATGAGCCTCGGGGGATCACCTGCCATCTGGATCCAGAGGAGGAGGAAGAAGAGGAGGAGGAAGAGGAGGAGGAGGAGAAGCTGCAGGAGAGAAGCAGCCGGCGGGTAAGGGCTCTCCAAGGGCTATGGTGCTGGGGTCCCCGGCATCCCGGCAGTGCCACGGGACCAGCGTCCTAGTGGTGCCGGGGCCCGGGGCAGGTGAGCACTGCCAGCACCCCCCGATGCAGCCCTGCTCTCTCCTCTTCCAGTCACTCCAGTCGTTGCAGGAGATCAAACCTCTGCAGGTGGGTCATGGATGGAGCTGGGTGGGCTGGGGGGTCGGGTACCACGAGGGCAGCGAGCAGCTGTCACTGGCTGGCAGAGGGGACTGAGCTTGGGAACTCCTTGGCTGTGCCTCCCCTTTCCCCTGGTGGGGCAGGTGCTCCACTTCTGGGGTCTCCATCACCTCGGGGTCTCAATTTCGGGGGAATTATCTCCATTGCCTTGGTTCTCTATCATCTTGCCATCTCCATCGCTTTGAGGTTTCTGTCACCTCAAGTTCTCCATCACCTTGGGTTGTCCATGACCTTGGGTTCTCCATCATCTTGGGGTCTTTAATATCTTGGGGTCTGCATCACCTCAGGGTCTCCACCTGCTTGGGGTCTCCATCACTTTGGGAGTCTCCATTGCCTCAGGTTCTCCATGGCCTTGGGGGTCTCAGTGCTCAGCACCAGCAGGGTAGCGAGTCTGTAGACCCTCAGGCAGGCGGGTGACCACCAGAGCTGGGGTGGTCCTGACACCATGATGGCTCCTGCAGGCCAAGGACGCGTCGCAGGTGGCCCCAGAGCTGTCGGCCGTGGTGGTGTACTGCCAGGCTGTCCCCTTCCCCGGCCTGGCCCAGGCCCTGCGCCACCCCCGGCCCTGCGAGATGTCCTCCTTCAGCGAGAGGAAGGCTCGGAAGCTTATCAAGGAGGCGGGTGAGGGTGACGGGATGGGGATGGGGACAGAGTGGCTCCATGCTCCTGACCTCGCTGGGATGCAGGATGGGGCTGTGACAGATGGGCTGTCACCAGGGTGGCTCCATGGGTCGTGGTTGGGGACATGCTGGCCCCGACCAGGCTGGTCTGACCTGGGGCAACTGGGGTCTGGTGTCAGGGTCTTGGACCAGAGGCCAGGGTGGGGGCCACAGGTCCAGGATCAGGGTCTGGGGTCAGGGTTTGGGATGTGGCATCTGGTCCCAAGGTCAGGGCTGGGGTCAGGGCCTGGGTTCTAGGGTGAAGGTCCGGAATCAGGGTCAGGGTCTGGGGTGCAGGGCTGAGATTAAGATCTGGGTCAGTGTCCAGGGTCTGAGGTCTGGGGTCAGGGGTCCAAGGTCAGGGTTCAGGGTCAAGGTCCAAGGTCAAGGTCCATGCATGGGGTCTGAGCCCCAGGCTCTGGGTTCACCCTGGCAGGCAGGCTCCGTCCTTGTCCCCAGGCACACGGGTGCAGGCTGGACCCTGCTGGCAAGGCCCCGCCCCAGCACCCATGGGTGCAGCAGCCCTGCTCAGCTGTTCGCCCCCAGGCCCGGCGCTGGTCCGGTACAACGCCCGGCAGCTCAGCCGCGTCTACCCGCTGGGGCTGAAGATGAACTCCTCCAACTACAACCCCCAGGAGATGTGGAACGTTGGCTGCCAGCTGGGTGAGACCCCACAGCCCCCGGGGGACACCCCATAACCTGGCACCCCCTCCCCCAGGGCCGTCACCCACCCTGACACCCTGTTCCCCTTGTCCCCACAGTGGCCCTCAACTTCCAGACGCCGGGCTACGAGATGGACCTGAACGCCGGGCGCTTCCTGGGCAACGGGCGCTGTGGCTACGTGCTGAAGCCCCCCTGCCTGCGCAGCCCCCCCGGGGAGGGGCCCCGCCGCCTGGCACTGCACGTCAGGGTGAGGCACCCCACCGCCCCAGCCCCACGCCCGGGTGTGTGCCACCCATGTCCCTGCTGGGTGATGACATTCGCATTCCCATGCCTGGCCAGGTGCCACCTGCATCCCTTTTCCCAGGTGATGTCAATCCCACACCCCACCAGGTGCCACCCATGTACCGTCTGGGTGACACCAACCCCATGCCCAGACAGGTGCCACTCACACACCTTCTCCTGGGTGCCACCAGTGTGTCTTCTCCTGGGGACCCTGTCCCTGTCCTCACACCTGTTTGAGTACCATCCATGTCCCTACACCTGGGTGACACTAACCCCATCCCCATGCCTGGCCAAGTGCCACTCATGTCCCTTCTCCCGGGGACATCAATCCTGCCCCTGCTCCCTGCCATGTGCCACCCGTGTCCCTCTTCCTGGGTGCCACCCTGTCCCCAAACCTAGCTGGTATCAGCCACGTCCCTTCTCTGAGGTGGCACTAACCATCTCCTTCCTCCTGCCATGTGCCACCCATATCTCTCCTCTTGGGTGCCACCCTGTCCCCAAACCCAGCTGGCATCACCCATACTCCTTCTCCAAGGTGGCACCAACCACCTCTCTCCTCCCTACCGTGTCCCCACACCCAGCCGAGTGCCACCCCACGTCCCTTCCCCTGGGGCCCACCACCCCGGGGTGACCCATGCCACGGGTCCCCAACACCCGCTGTCCCCAGGTGATCACGGCACAGCAGCTACCCAAGCTGAACCGGGAGAAGGGCAGCTCCATCGTGGACCCCTTCGTGCGGGTGGAGATCCACGGCGTCCCGGCTGACTGCGGCAAGCAGCAGACCCGCCACAAGCTCAACAATGGTGAGCGCCTGCCGGGCCACCACGGCCCAGCCACCGGTCCCTGGGGACATCCCAGAGCACCCCAGTCCCCCCCAGGGACACCCAGAGTACCCCGGTCCCCGGGCGGTGGCAGAGCCCTCGGGCACCCAACACCCGGGCACCCGCTGCTCCCCAACTGCCTGCCCCGGAGCTGAGCAGGTGACCAGGACATCCCAGTCCCCACAGTGCACCCCAGTCTTGCAGTGCCATGTCTCCAGCACAGCCTGATCCTGACCAGTGGCAGGGTCCCAGCATGTCCCAGTCCTCCCCAGTGTTGCTCTCTCCTGTCCTTCAGTATACCCAGTCCAAGCCCAGTGTGACCCCCATCTCCCCCAGTATACCCCATCTTAGCCCCAGTAGGGCCCCCATTTCTGCAGTATAGCCCAGCCTCACACCAGCATGACCTCTGTTTCCCCAGTATACTCCAATACAGCCACAGTAGGACCCCCATTTCCCCAGTATACCCCATCTCAGACCCAGTAGGGCCCCCATTCCCCAAGTATAGGCCAGCCCGGCCCCAGTGTGATGATGCCCATTCCCCCAGTATACCCCACCACAGCACCAGTAAGACCCCCATTGCCCCAGCATAGCCCAGCCTGGCCCCAGTAGGACCCCCATTTCTGGAGTATAGCTCAGGCTCACACCAGCATGACCTCTGTTCCCCCATTATACCCCACTACAGCCCCAGTAGGACCCCCTTTCCCCCAGTATACCCCACTGTGGCCTCAGTATGACCCCTATGCCCCAGTATAGCCCAGTCTGGCTCCAGTAAGACCTCCATTCCCCCAGTCTGGCCCAGTCGCCACATACCCCAGTGCAGGATGGCAGCTAAGCCAGGGAGGGGTGAGCACAATGGAGGGTTGAGCCGGTCCCCAAGCCCAGGGTGGTTGTGGTAGCCATGGTGGCAGCGCCCACCCCCTGTCCCGGTGCCGTAGGCTTCAACCCCCGCTGGGAAGAGACACTGAGCTTCCAGCTGCGGGCGCCCGAGCTGGCCCTGGTGCGCTTCGTGGTGGAGGACTACGACAGCACCTCCTGCAACGACTTCGTGGGGCAGTTCACCCTGCCTCTGGCCAGCATGCGGCAAGGTGGGTGGGTGCCCACCCCGCTGTCCCCCTGGGACAGGGACAGTCCCCCGCCCCACACCAGCTCAGCCCCTGTCTCTGTCCCCAGGGTATCGTCACATCCATCTGCTCTCCAAGGATGGGGCGTCCCTGTCCCCCGCCACGCTCTTTGTGCACATTCGATGCAAGAGTCTGTGAGGTCCCTGTGAGAGGGACATCATGTCCCCGTGCGTGGGACAACATGCTCCTCCATGGGGTGGGCACCCTCCTGCACCAGAGACTCCCTGTGTGGGGACAGCCTGGGGACACTGCTCACACAGCTGCAGTGGCAGCAGGGCTGGCTGGGAGACCCAAGGGGGTAGGGGACCCCCTCCACGTCCCTTAGGGCCACACCATCCGCTGGCCCACATGCCCTGCTCCTCCCCTCCCTGGCTGTGACCCCGAGGGGACAGAGATGCTGTGACAACCAGGATGGGGTGGCCAGGCCATCAACACCCTAGCACAGCCCTGGGGGAGTGACACTAGTGACAACAAACCCCAAACATCACCACCCCCAGCCACGCTCAATCCCAGCCCCTCCTTGGGCTGCAAGGATGGTGCCATCACCACGAGGACCCTGAGGGGTCCCTGTCACTGTGCAGGCCCCAAGGGGACCCTGCTACCATGTGCCCCGTCGTGCCCAGGGCACTGAGCCTCGGCATGGCTGGGGGCCGCCCTCCCAACCCCTGCTCCAGCACTGGCGATGGTCACAGATTTATACCCCGGTGTCAAGCCAGTCAAATAAAGGTTTTATTTTAACAGAACCTGTCCCGGCATCCCTGTCACCTCCTGGGGCCCGTGGGGGGGTGGTTGGAGAGGCTGAGGAGAGGGGGATAAGGGCTGGGGCCACCCCCAAACACAGCATGGCCCCAGGGAGCTGCCAAGCACCCATGGGTGCTGCACCCGAAGGGGCTGGGGGTGGCACATTGGAGCAACCCTCAAAACTGTCACAGGGACGGGGGGAAGGTCCCGCTGGACACCCCCCATCTACCCCCAGCCCAGGACGCCGGGGACACAGGAGGGGACACAGAGGTACTTGCATAGGTGACACAGGACCCCGAGCAGGGGGGATGTGATGGCGCTGCTGGGGGGGATGCGATGGGCTCCTGGTTCCCCGCCGAGGCCCCACAAGTCCACGCTGGGGTGGGCAAAGCCCCTCGGGGTCTCTGGTGTGCCACGGGGCAGGAGGGGGCACAGAGGGACAGGGAGGCATGGGAGTGCATAGATGGGGTCTTGGCCTTGGTGTGCAGCTTTAAACCTTTGGCTGGGAGGGCAGGAGCATCTCAGAGCTCTTCATGGACATGGTTCACATGACAGCGGGAGGCAACTGGCTGCCCGGGCGTTTGTTTCCCAAGGTATCTTGATGGGATAAAGGTTTTCCATCAAAGAAAACATTTCCTTTACCTCAGAGGTTCCCAGAACACAAGGTGATGAGCCTGGTGTAAGAGGTGCTGGGGTAGTTGGAGAGGCTGAAGCCCCAGGGCGATGCTGATGGCGTGTCACAGGCCGCTTGTGCATGTGTCCACGCTTCCACAGAAAAGCAGCTGAGCAGAGAGCCCCAAGGTGCAGCAGCAGCGACGCATCATCCCCCGATGCCCACAGCCCTGGTGTCATGAAGGGTGGTGGAGAGGAACAACCCTGAGGAGTCAGCAGAGTGGGGTGCGCTGGCCGAGCTCCAGAGGCAAGTGAGGAGCCGAGTCCCCCTGTATCTTCAGGCGTTGCTGCTCCTCAGTTCAGCACTTGCCCCACTGAGCAGAGAGGGTTCGAGTCTCCGAGGCTGGGAAGGAGAAGGGACAAGGCATTGCTTGCACAAATAGCCCTTAGAAAGAAATTTCGACATGCTCCCAAGCCCGTGGGGAGGGACGGTGCCATCGCCCCTCTCCAGGCACCCGCAGGAAGGACTGAGTTTAACACAGGGAGTAAACCCAGGGAAAACAGCCGAGCAGGGGACAGAGCCCCCAGCACCCTCCAGGCAGGCAGGAGGGCTCGGCAGCCCAGCCACTGCATCCCGGTGCTCCACCACACCGGTGCCAGGCCGTTCGGCGCAGCATCTACCTTGGGTGGCCCCGTCGAGAAAAGTCATGGTCCAGCGACCCGGAGGTGGCCTTCAGCAGATGAATGCAACTCATGTCAGTTTGGAACAGGAAAGATTTAAAATATATATAATATATACTTTTATTATTCACCCGTTAACTCCATTATATGCCAATCATGAGCTAGTTTCAGCAGTTACATTCCCTTGATCACGTCTTTACGAGGATGCAATTAAATCAAAACAAAGGAGACAGCTGACGCCAGCGGGGGAGCGGCGGCCGGCGCTGCGGGACGCAGTCGGTGAATCCAGGCGGCGGGCGGCTGAGCGGCCGGTTCCATTCCACCTCTCCCGGCGCGGGTCCAGCTTTGGCGGAAAGGATGAGGGCAGCACCTCCGCCAGGCCCGGCTCCTCGGCGGTGCCATGCTCTCCTGGCAAGGGCTCACTTACTGCAACACCAGCCCGACCTGGGGGAGCCAACAAGATGGCAGGTCAAGACGTGCCCGAGCGCCAGCATCCTCTGCTCCAGCACCAGCTCCGGGAAGACACGGCTCACAAGCCCTGGCCGTGCCGGCCGGGAGGGCTCAGGACCACCTGTGTGGGTTTTCTCACCGGCTTTGGGATGTTTGGGAGCAGGGAGAGCCCTGGCCACGTGGCCAAATGGGCACATGGACCCTTCCCAGCTGTGATCTGCAGAGGTGACCGATATTTGGGGTGTGACAGGCCCAGGCAGTCTGCAAGACAGCCTTGATTTATGAGCCATGGTTGTTTCTAAGCTAGTAACAAGAGATCTGGGAAAGCTTCCCGAAACCCTCATACCAGGAGGCCGCTCTGCAGGCAGCGGGCACTGCTGGGTGCTCTCCAGCTGCATGACAGGACGTGCTGGTGGCTGGTCCCAGGCTCTGACCCCCTGCAGCCCCGGGCAGCCCCGCCGCAGGGTATGGCCGGAGAGCGGCTCCCAGCACCAGGCTCTCAACCCTCCAGCTCTCCCCGTGAGAAAAGGGATTGCTGAAACCTCCCAGCAACCTCCTCGAGCTTTTTGAAAGGTTCAATGACAGAGCAAAGCTGGTTTAAGGCACATGGGCTTATACCCACAGAGACAGACCTAGCTTCACACACTCTGTGAAGGGAATCAAAGCCCCGTTACTGTCATTAAGGCATTAATTAGCTGTCGTGACGTAGCGTGGGCAGGCTGCAGTGCTGCACAGCGAAGCAGCTTCTGGTTCTCTAGCATCGTCCTGGTGGCTGTGGACTGGACAGGTGCTGAACCACATCTTCAGGGGGGCAACACGGCAGCAACCAGGTGCTCCCTGAAAATGGCCCAGGGCAGACAGACGGAGTGTCCCCAGGCACCGTTGTGAGTGCTCGGAGCTGCTGAGTGGGGAGCGAGGTGCTGGCCGTGGGGACAGGGTGATACCCCAGAGACCCTGCACACGCTACAAGTGACCGTGCTGAGCTCCCCATTGTCACGAGTCCCAACAGCGACCCAACGGCCCTCAAAGCTCGTCTGTTCTTTCTAGAAGGGTTGTTGTGTGTCTCACCCCACCAAGACAGGTTGACATACAGGATACAGGGTTGTGTGGTGACAGCCAGGCCCTGTGCAGGCTCACAGGGCACAGCAACCACCTCCCAGGTGACTGTCCCAACCAGCAGGGTCACATCTGTCACCCTGCAGCCCTCTGCCTGTCTCCTCTCTGTACCTGGCCTCCTTCCACAGTCACAGAATCCCAGAATCATCCAGGCTGGAAAAGCCCTTGAAGCAGCTCCAGCCCAACCATGACTCTCACCCTGACCGTTCCCAACTCCCCCAGATCCCTCAGCGCTGGCTCAGCCCGACTCTTCAACCCCTCCAGGGATGGGGACTCCCCCCCTGCCCTGGGCAGCCCATTCCAACGCCCAACAGCCCCTTCTGCACAGAAATCCTTCCTCAGAGCCAGCCTGACCCTGCCCTGGGCAGCTTGAGGCCATTCCCTCGGGGCCTGGCGCTGGGGCCTTGGCTCCAGAGACTCATCCCCCCTCTCTGCCCCCTCCTGGCAGGGAGTTGCAGAGGGCCAGGAGGTCTCCCCTCAGCCTCCTCTTCTCCAGACTGAACCCCCCCAGTTCCCCCAGCCACTCCCCAGCAGACCTGTGCTCCAGACCCTGCCCCAGCTCCATGAGGATGTGGGATATGTGTGGGTTTAAGGACTCTGAACCTGCACTAGTCCAAGAGTAAAACCAGCCTGGGGAGCTTCTGGGATTCTGTGACTGTGGAAGGACGAGCTTCCCCAGGGACACCCTCTGTGCAGGCACCATCAGGAGAGCACAAAGGAGCTGTCGCTGGATTCACCCGTGACTGTGAGTAACACTGCACCAGACAGTGGCTGGCCTGGGAACACCATGGTGTGTGATGGCAAACCTGTCTCCCTGGGGGCTGCAGGGACAAAAGCCCTTCCCGTGTGCTGGAGGACCCCACCACCTTGTGGCACTGACCTTCTCTGGTGCCATGCTGGGACACTTCCAATTGTACAGGTAATACTGCAGGTTCCCATCCCCAATCCCAAACTTCAGCTTCTCCAGGAAGGTTTTGTTTTCCATGAGATCCAGTGCATTGAAGACGTCGAATCCTTTCTGCACAGGCAAGACACAAAGCCATCAGCTCCTCCTGCTTATGGGCTGGGGAGTGCCTCCCTTCTGCAAGCTGCCTGCTCCCTCTCCTGCCCAGCTTTGCACCCCTAGAAGACTGGATCGAGGCCACCAGAGAAGAACTTGACACTGGGACACCCACCCTCAGTGCACATGCTACCGACACACGGCAATGTTGTTTGCTGGAAGAAACAAGCAGACTCCTTGAGTCCAGCTCAGAGCTCACCAGAGGGTTCAGGCTACCCATACACCCCTCCACTGAGCAGCAGATCTGTCAGAATTTGGGTTTGTATGGCCCTGGGCACAAACCCTGCCCTGGGGCCAGCCCTCCCCATAAAATCAAGGGCAGACAGGCTACCCTGTGAGCTGCGAGCTGCCCGGTGAGCTGCCCAGTGCCCCGTGAGCTGCCCCGTGAGCTGCCCCGAGCCCCATGAGCTGCCCCAAGAGCTGCCCCGTGAGCTGCCCGTAGCCCCATAGTGCCACCCCAGCCCCGCCATTGCTCACCGACTTGGCGAGTATGAGAGCATCGCTCATGAGGTCGATGAGAGGCGTCTTGGTGTGAACGTTGTAGAAGGAGTAAGCAGCTTTCAGGCTCTTGTGAGTCGCGTGGTTCATGATGGTGGAGGGCAATGTGTAGAAGCTCAGGAAGTCTGTCACCTCCCCTGGGGCGCTCTGGAAGCCAGAAGTGACACCAACACATATCAGAATAAAGCCCGTCTGGAGCCTCAGAAGGGGTCTGCCAGTCTGAGTGATGCGTGGGCTCCCTGCGAAGAGACTCAGGGCAGCCCAGGATAGAGAGGCACCATCCTCCAGCCACTCAAACCTCCCACCTGGGAAGAGCATCTCACTGCTGGGGGCAGCAACCTCCCTGATTGCTCCCCCAGTTCACCACACACTCTTCCAGCAGAGGCAGAAGCCCAGGAAACCCCCCTCCAGTCTTGGTCCTGCCGCCTCACCTCTACCACAAAGGTGTCGA